ATTTTCTTCGTTTAAACAACAGACTTTCGTCTCCCCCCGCCCCCTCCTCGAAGCCCTTCCTCCCGGCAAAGATGACTTGCGTTCTCTTCTGAGGCCCCGCTTTCGAAGTCTCACAATAATGGTAACAAAGGTAAAAAATAAAATTACTGGAAAGAGTAAGAAAAAAATTCAACCAGGCCAGCGAGCAGCTGTTTTTGTTGCGGATGTAAAAGCAAATCATCTTTTTTCAATGGATTATAAATATCTCTTCGTGATGATAAGTCAAAGATATTTTCATGATACGTAATGTCGCGATCGGAGCTCTCATTTTAACATCTTTTACAGGCAGATTACCTGCTGAGAAACTGAAGAATTGCGCACGAATTCTCTGTACTCACGCCGCTGTTAACTGACCTAATCAAGTGCTGACGCAATATATTCCACAATATCGATCCGTTTTGCCGGTGATCTTAATTTATATCGTTGGCTTTCATGAAACGTCTTGAAATAAATATTGTAAAATCTACACGGTTGATCCTACAAAGCTCATTGTTTCAAATATTATGGATGGGGGAAAAAAATATATGAATATAAAGAAATATTATATATATTTAGCCAAGCCTAAGGGCGGAGCTCCTGGGCCGGGTTGTTCAAAGCCCGATTAAGCTAAGCCAGGATAAGCGAGGATTTTGATTTGATTTTTGTAACTTTGTGGTGACGTCTTCTGTTTACATTGTTTGGCCTTCTGTTTCGAGTCTGCATAATCTCAAGCTACATAAAAAAAAGCAGTGAAAAACATTTTAATACAAGAAAAATTTATTCTTCGGTTAATTTTTGATCCTGGGTTAGCTATTCCGAACAACATTGCCCTGATTAAAACAAGTAAACCTGACATGAGCCTACGATCCAATCGAAAACCAGCTCTTGGTCAGCGGTCAAATTTAAAGAAAAACGCGTGTCCTCGATGAGCTCTAAACCTGAGCCCACGATTTGGTCACGTGATACTGGTCAGCGGATACATTGATTTGACAGATGTCAATAAACCGTAACATGGATGTCCAATATCAAAGATGTACGCTGCAAACCAAGACTGCATGACGGTATTAGCTGGAGTATGGCCGCCATGTTGCGCGACGTTTCGTCGTTGTCGTATGGCGCACGCGCTCGTGGTCCATGCCGTTAGCCATGTTGACCATCAAAAGAGAGTTGCACGGGTTTCTATTTCTATGCATGCATCTGGTTCTCTTCCTATAGCTATGGTGCTACGCTTTGCCGCCCATGAGGCCGCCGGAATAAACCCAATTGTGCCCAAATTTGGTTGCTTTATCTATATTTTATTTCAGTTCAAGGTGTCAGATTCTTCTTTCCTATCCCGTTAAGAAAATGAGTTTCCCGATCGGTTATGTTCGCCAACTCCATGCCAATAAAAGAAATGATTCCTCAAGGTTTATTATTCTCCCATGAGAGCTGAAAATTATAAAATGGATTTTAGTTTCTATGTGAATATAATGTTTGTCGAGTTTCAATTATTTTCTATACTTTCCATATTCGTACTCGACGTTTTATTGATTCTATCTGTGAAGCTCGTCGATAAGCCTTAGCCTTGTAGCCTTGTGAGATAGGAGTGAGGTACATACAGAAATTTCTCTACTGAAACGGTCTGTTCGCAAAAAAGAATCATTTCTTCATTGTAAATTAATATAAAAACTTGTTTATAAATGCATCGTGATCCTCGATTTTCCATGTAGTCACAACCATTATGCGTAAGTATAACGAACAAATAAAGTAACACAGGTGCTATTTTAAAAAATAAATAAATAAATAAATAGCACTTACGTATTTTAAATTACACTTTTCTGCGACAGGAAAATTGAAAACTGTTAAATACGACCGTTTTAAACGTTGCAGCATTTTTAGTAAAAGCCTCAATTTCATAACTAATGTATTATGCTAATGTCAGTGATAATCGATTAACTTTTATTTGTATTCCAATTTTTAAGTACGGAGGATTAATATAAGCGATGTTTCAAAAAAGAATACATAGAGGATATTGCATGCATGGCCGCGCGGAGATACGAAATTTCTCTTGGAGTGTTGAAAATATTTTACCAACGCGCGCAGCGAACAAGTGAAATAAGTTTTTCAACACGAGAAGAGAAATTTCGTATATTCAAGCGGCCATGTAATGTTTTATTTATTATATAAACACGAAATAACGAACCATTTAACTTCGCTGCAAAAGGCGCAATTTTTTATGTTACCGTAGCAACGCGATCTTTTCACATGTGAAAATAACATGTTATTTTCACGTGTGAAGATATCATGTTTTCGCGGTAAGTTTATAAAGCGTTGGTTTTAATGTAATAAAAAAGTTATTATACTTTGCATGTTGCGTTTACTAACTGCCCCGATTGCCCAAATAAGTTAAAATTGCCGCTTTCAAAAGATTTCCATGGAAAACGGCGAAAACTTACTAATACGATTATCATAATAATACTTCACGGAATAATCGAACGAGTAATTTCGAAGCCTGACAAATATGAAAACTTTCTGAATTGTATCAAAACCAAAACCAAAGTAAATTCCTGATTACTTTCGACACGCAATTAAAACTCGCCCTAAACCGTCTGATATTATGTACGGTTTGTATGTTTGACTGCACAAACATCAGGTCTCTTGTGAAAAACATAGGAAAGTGTTCCACTTTTAAGAACTTTAATTTTAACGTGTTAGCTCCGCAAACGACCAACTATTTTAAATATTTTTAACCTCGAAAAATGCTGTATAAAATCTTTAAGTTTTATGTAGATCTTTTTCTTTTATTTTAATTAAAATATTGAACCTTTGTAATCGTTTTGTTTCAATCAGTTGGTACACCACCCACAAGCATAAAGCTTTGACATGTATGTAACCGTGTTTAAATAAAGGCTCTATGAATGTATGTATATTTCGTTGGAATAGTGATGCGACTTTTCACATTTCACGACTGTAGACCTTTCTTTGTGTTTCATGTTGCCATCTTTTAGTGATGTGTACCGTGCGCCGCCGGTATTCTTGTGTGGAGCTACAAATACATCGCTTAATTTCAACATCGCTTTCAACGTCGCTTTCAACAGCGCTTTCGACGTAATTTGAGCAACACGGTATTAGTCCAGGGCTTTCGATTTTAACACAATTTTCGTTTTGGTAATCACTCGTAAAATCTATTTAGAGAGCGTGGATTAAGTTGTCAGTAAAATGAAAAGATTCCAAAACGTTTTACCAACCTAATCCGGGGGGAATACTCTCTATATGCCTTTTTCATGTTGATGGTAATATGCATAAAACAGTTGGGATTTCACCGCTGAAGTATCGGAGAATGGTAGAAAAACTGTCATGGCGCTAGATGTATATAAAATTGGCGCTATTCAAGAGCCGAAGGAGCTCAAGAACTTTCTTCAGAACCGTCTAAAAACGCTTAACATAACGCGAATCGAATACAGTCGAACCTCCCGTAAGGGAGGTTCGACTGTACATTAAGCTTAGGTGCTCGCTTATTGGAGGCGGTCGCTTAGGACAATTTAGACCATATTGGGTCAAATTTTTTCCATTAGCATAAGGTAACTACTGAAACTTACCCCATGTTTTAAATGTTTTATTCAAGTGAAAAGTCAATTTTGCGAAAAAAAAAAAAAATATCCGATATTTCGCACGCATTGAGAAATTTCCATCCCTTGTACTATCCAGGAATACGATAATGTTACAACACCTTATTCGATCCAATTTCCCCTCTACTGTCTGTCAAGTGCTCGCCTACAGAAGGTTAAAAACAAAAGAAAATTTCAAACTTTTAGCTCTAAAAGTGGTCGCGGTCGCTCACGAGAGTTGGTCGCTTACAAGAGGTTTCAAATATAGTGATTTGACTTGAAAACCTTTGGTAGTTTGGAAAACTGGTTGCTGAGGAGTTGTGGTCGCTTCCGAGAGGTGGTCGCAACCGTGGGTATGCCCAACGACGAGCTTATCTAACCAATTTATGTAAATACTAAGCTGAAAATATAGTAGAAGTCGGTCGATTATTTGTCAAATGTAGGTACTACAAAGGGTTATCATGTTCCTTTCGTTAGTCTTATTATTATTTCCGAAAAGTCACCCTTTTCTTGGAAAAATGGTGAATACATATTGGAACGATTTATTGGAGTGGACCTTCCCTAAAAACTCTGTTCAATAAACCTCCCCCCTGCTAGCAAAATAACCTGACATAATAAAGTGTGGGAAAAAAACGAACAAAACATTTGTGATGAGAATCTGATCAGCTTAAACATAAAAAGATAATTTCGAAATCAGCGAAAACTCATTTAGCTAACATGGTCAATGATTAATCTCCTAAGATAATATTGAAGTTTTTACACACTTAATTAAGAGTCGGTGACATTTACAGTTCTCATCTTCGGCAGCAATAAATACCGTAACATTTCTTATTCAGAGACAGTAAAACGCTCTCATTCTACGTCGTCCTATAACATGGCCTACAACCTCTCCGGTTCAAATTTTAACAACTTTACAAATATTAGCACGGAAGGCGGAACACCAAATAACCCACCCGAGGTTCATCTTATCATCACCATTATCATTAACATCATGACAAGTCCCGTGACAGTTTTGCTCAACGTGTTGGTGATAATGGCCGTGAAAAAAATAACAAGACTTCAGAGTTACCCCAACATCTTGCTGGCCTGTTTAGCGGCAACTGATGTCTTAACTGGTCTGATCGTGCAGCCGTCGTTTATCCTGTGCAGAACTTTCCAGCTTCTTGGTATGAATGAAACTGAAATGATTCTATGCACTTTTCATTACTCTTCTATACACGCCCTGTCTCTTTGCTCTTGTCTCCATCTGATGTTGATAACTTGCGAGAGACTTATAGCCATCAAATTTACTCTTCGCTATACAGCTATTGTCACAACGCGAAGAATTAAGGTGGCAGTGATCACATTCTGGATCGTTTCTCTAATTTCTGGAGTAACCAGAGACTTGGAAAACAAAACGTTGTTAGCATTTTCACTTGCCATTTATATTTTTTGCGTTCTTTTCATTGTATTTTCTTACTTGATTTTGTATCGGGAAATACTTCGCCACCGGAAGATGATCAAAGCTCATCAGCTGCCTCAAGAGGAAGTGGAAAGATTCGCTAAGGAGCACAAAGCGCTCAAGACAACTGTGATTGTGATCGGTGCTGTTGTACTGTGCTTTGTGCCCGTAGTTTTCGTTCTCGTATTAGGCGGTTTGGGATTAGCTCCATCGGCGTTAGTGTCATATGTTGCCACATTCGTCACGTTCAACTCGCTCCTTAATCCATTGATTTATTGTGGGCGACAAGAAGAAATGAGAAAGTTCGCGTTTAGATTTAAATCTGAAGCCGTTGTTGCCATTAGGTAAAATTAAAAGCAACGAAAGACTGAAAAACTGTTAATGCTTTATTAAAGTACAAAGCATTCAATACAGAAGATGACTGCTATGTAAATAGAAATTCATGTCACTGCAAACTACATGTTACGTTTTTTTTCAATAAATTGCACTGGTGTCAAAAAATGGCAATTAAATGAAATTTCAACCGGAACAATGCTTCCTGAGTTTCTTTCTTTCTTTTCTTTTTTTCTTTTGTTTGTCTTTTGGCGAGGGAGGGGGAGAGTTGACTGAATTGGGAAAAAACAGACAAGTGGGTGTGTTTGTACTCACCTTTAGAAACACAAATTAAAGCAAATTAGAACCTCCTGGTTAAAAGGGTTCCTTCACTTTAAAAAGGTTCACTTCCTTAGGATGTTAGCAGTTCATCCCAGGGTAATCCCCACCACTCCCTCCCCCTCAAATCTCCATAAACACACACATTCATACACACACACACACACACACACACACACACACACACACAC